TGCTGTGAGCTGTGACACTACAGCACTCTACCGAGGGCAACATAGTGAGACTGTCTCAAAAAAGAAAAAAAAACAAAACAAGCAAATAAGCAAAAAATATGTCTTCTCATTTATTTGTTTGCCTCCCCACTAGGGCAGGGATTATTGTCCATGCCATTCACATATTGAGCAGCTATATTCTAGGCACGGGGGATACAGCAGTGGACAAAAAAGACAAAACCTCCTGTGTCCATGGAGCTCAGATCCCAGTAAAGATCCCATCTGGCCCTCCACCAGATGAGGGTGTAATTATATGATAGCAGGATGTGCAGGGAGGATGGGGAGGGGGGCAAGCTACTATTTAGCGAGGGAGGATCTCCGGGAGGAGGTGACCTTTGAGCTGGGGAAACACCTCAAGGCAACATTACCACCATCACCTCTATTGTTTATGCACAAACCTTGAGTCCCAGGCCACCTAGCATGATGCAGACAAGGATGGACCCTGGAGCCAGCTACGTGGTTTGGGGTTTGAAATTGAAGTTACGCTACTCAGTAGCCAGTGTGATCTTGTGATCTTTAACCTCTCTGTGCCTCAGTTTATCCACCAGTACTACAGAAATAATAATCAGACCTACCTCACAGGGTTATTACAAGGATTACTGAATAAATGACTCAATAAATGTTAGCTTTTATTTATTGCACGTCCACTTGCAATCCCTTGGTATGTCCTGTATGAGTTGCTTTCTCTGCCTTGGTGGTTTGGGGGCTTGAACCCTCTGCCTGGGTTCTGACCCCTGGTGGGGCAGTAGGTGGGGCTTGAGAAGCAAGGTGAGCCTCTTCATGTCTCTTCACCAGGTATTGACCTCATGGACTTGGCTTCGGACCTCCTGCAGCCCCAAGGAGATGATGCTGCCCGCATCAGCTGGTACCTGCGTAACCTCATCACCCGATACCAGGAGACCTTCAGTGTCATTGAGAAGGTGATTCTAGGGCACTGCAGGGCATCCTTTCTGCCCACCTTTCTTTGGCCACCCTGACCCCACTCCTATTGCCTTTCAGTGCCCCAAGCCTGTGATTGCTGCCATCCAGGGGGGCTGCATTGGCGCAGGTGAGTCTGCAGCCCCCGATTCCTGCTCCCCCAGCCCTGGCTCCCAATCTCAGCCCTGTTGCTAGTCAGATCAGGTCCCTAGATGTGACCCCACAATGTGGTTGTGCAGTATCCCTGGCCTCTACCTCCCAGGTGTGGACCTTGTCACCGCCTGTGACATCCGTTACTGTGCCCAGGATGCTTTCTTCCAGGTGAAGGTAAGTCATCCTTCAAGCTCCTGCCTCCTTGGCCCTACCTGTTACAGTGGGTGAGGTGAGCTCCGAGGGCTTCATGGAAGTGGTTATTCAGAGTAGAACCTGACAAAGTAAGACTTGGCTGTGGAGTAAGTCAAGGGCAGACAGTGCAATGAAGGTCATGAGTAGGTAAAGGTGTGGGGTGGGGAGGAGGCCGGCACCTGCCAGAGGCTGGAGTTGCTGCCTGGTGGTACTAGAGAGGTAAGAGGCAGGGTAGAGCATTGGAGCAGTAGAGAGGGGTGGGAGGATGAGGGTAAGAATGTTTTTTGTCTGGAGGTGGATGGGGCTACTCTGGAGAAGTGGGAGGGCAGAAGAGTTGTAGGTGGGCTCTGTCCTAGGGTGAAGGAATTTGCCTGGGTACAAGCACAATGGTGGGAACCGAATGAGGTATTTGGAGGGGGTCACCAAAGTGAGGTGGTAGGACCACTGCGGTAAATGCAAATTTCACGGGCATCCTGTTTGTGTGGGAGCAGTACTGGGCACAAACCAAACACTACACAATTGCTCCCCTCAGGAGGTGGATGTGGGTTTGGCTGCTGATGTGGGAACTCTGCAGCGACTCCCCAAGGTCATCGGGAACCAGAGGTGTGTGGGTGAGGTGGGGTGGGGGACCCCGGGGGAAAGGGACCACAAGACATCTCCCAGACCTGGGCTAGTGACTGTCTCTTAATGCGCCTTCCCTGCCCTTGCAGCCTAGTCAACGAGCTGGCCTTCACTGCCCGCAAGATGATGGCTGATGAGGCCCTAAGCAGCGGGCTGGTCAGGTAGGGACTGAGGCCATTGTGGTTAAGTGCTTGCGGCAGTCAGGCTTGGGTGCGGTTTTCTGGGTCCCCTTGTCTCCTTGCTGGAGGATTCCAAATGGTGTCCTTGCAGTGGTCATTTCCTTATTCAGAAATCAGCACCCCGCTCCTAACTGGGCCGTGTCCACTTTTTCATTGGCGGAGGCAGAGGGAGAGAGCTCCTTTCCAGTCCCCTCCAATTTCTTTTTTTTTTTTTTTT